CGACGCGGGGCTCAAACCCACGAACTGCGAGATCGTGACCTGAGAAGTCGGACGCCCAGCCAACCGAGCCACCCAGGCGCCCCGAAAATATATTATGTTTATAAAATACAAAGTTCCGGGGTGCCTGGGTGACTCAGTTGGTTAAGTGGCTGACTTCACCTCAGGTCGTGATCTATCAGTTCATGATTTCGAGGCCCGCATCAGGCTCTGTGCTAAGAGCTTGGAGCCTGGAGCCTGCTTTGGATTCTGTGTATCTCTCTCTGCCCCTCCCATGCTTGTGCGTACTCTCTCTCTCTCTCAAAAATAAACATTAAAAATTTTTTCAAATAAAATAAAACACAAAGTTTTAAGAGCCACTAAGAGGTATAGGAGGAGGTACATCCGCTTAGGTAACGAGGTTGAAGTTTTTCTAGGTTAAACGGAAGAGTAGAGACCTGGGATTCTCCTCCTGGCTGGGGCCAGCCAGCTTTGTGACCTTGCATAAATGGTGGTGTTTACCAAACTTAATGAAATACCCAGATCACCAAGATTATGAGGCTGGCATAGCCTGATATGCTCAGAAGTGGCCTACATCATGCCACAATTGTGTTGCCTTTAAGAGAATCGCCTGCGGTTCTTAACTAGTCAGATTGTTCTGCCTTTAGTAACTGAACTTTGCAAATCAACTTGAGAGCTCAACACAGGCCTCTCGGGAGATCTCTCACACATAGCAGGAGAGTCAGACCCACCAGTACCTTGCCGTAGAGTTTATGAACGGGAACTCTAACTAGCAACCCTAAATGAAGAGGAGAAACGGTGTAGCCGTTGGAGGAATGTGAGAGAAAGCCCATGAATATTTTTCATGGCATCTGCCGGGAATATGGGGCAAAACAATGAACACGAGGAGAATGGAGCGAGCCAGGGAGAAAACTCCTTTCTTAATGTTTATTTCAGAGAGGGGCTGGTAATTGATGAAACTAATCCAATATCTGGAAACATTCTTTTTTAATCCTCACTTTGCCTTTTATGCAGTTTGAAATTTTGGAGACTCCTCTTTGAAGTAGAGCAGGGTCGGGTCTGAAAGGAACAAACCGTTTCCCAGACAGATGTGTGAAGAAATGCCCGGAGCTATGAGCTTCTTGCTGGGGTTAGATGTGAAGGGGCCAGGCTGTTAAATACACAGCAACATGAAATATGAATATTCTTTCACCTCCGTGGGGAATTTTTTTCCGAGGTAAAAAGAAAGGCGGCGGGGGGAGGCAGAACGCTATTCTACTGTTTACCCAATTCCTTTGCCTGGTCTTTGAGCTTCCATTCATTAGTATGGTGTTCCTGTGCTGTGCCACTCCAAGATCCTTTCTGAGGCTCACGTGTGAAAACAGCACGGTTTTAAAATGATATTTCTTGTCCTTTTATTGTCTTTCATTCCTATGCAGCGACAGTGAAAGCCATCTTGACAGTTCTAAAATGTTGTTTTGTTTACATTACAGAGTCTCCATGGCAACTGCATCATCCCAGGTCCTAATTCCTGAAATCAACCTCAATGATACCTTTGACACCTTTGCCTTAGATTTTTCCCGAGAGAAGAAGTTGCTAGAATGTCTGGATTACCTTACAGGTAATGTTTTGCGTGTGTGTGTGTGTGTGTGTGTGTGTGTGTGTGTGTG